ATCGCCGGCTGCCAGCCGCCCAAGGCAGTCGCCCTGCAGCGCTGCGTTGGAGAGGTCGGCGTCGCCCAGCCCGGCAAGGTCCACCTCGCCCAAGCGCGCGGAAACGCCGCGGCGGCGCACGAAGGCCGCGGCGCCCGCCCGACGCTCGCGCCCTGCGAAGAAGAAGAGCACCTCCAGCCGCAGCTGCGCCCAGCGGCCCGAAGCCTGACCCTCACAGCGCCTGGCTCCTGGCGCCTTCCCTTCTCGTCTCCTCTCCGTCGGCGCCCCCCCCGCCGGGGCGCGCGGCGACGCGTCTACTTGCGGGCTGTCGCGCGGGGCCGCGCCGCGGCTCGCGCAGCGGAGACGGCTCGCTGCTCGCCTGAAACCGCGAACGCTCCGGAGACGGGCTGCCTTGGCGCGGAGCTCCGGCGCCAAGTCGCGACTGCGGGGGGCCGCCGGGCCCGCGTCTGCCGGCGGCGGCAGCGAGGGGCGCGGCCCCCCTGCCCTGCGCCGCTGCCGCCGTTGCCCCGGCGCCAGCGCCGCTTGCCGCGGCCGCCCTTGCCCCACGGCGCGCTCTGGACTGGTGCCGGCGCCGCGAGGGCCCAAGAGAGAGCCTCGCTCCGCCGGCCCCGCGGGCGGGCGGGCCCCCCGCGCTCGCATCGCGGGCGGCCCCTTGCAAGGAAGCGCGAACACGCGCGGAGAAAGCAGCATTTGTTCAGGTCGCACCTGGCCACCTTGGAGTTGCACCTGAAGCAGGTCTTCTCGCCGTCCAGCGTCTGCGCGGATAGGCCGGCGCCCTCGCGTGCCGCGGCCGCGCCCCTTGCCCGCGCCGCCCTGGCGTTTGCTCGGCGGGCTGTCACGGGGCGCCAGCTGCCGAGGCGGCCGCGACCGCCGCGGCGTCGAAGGTCGCCGGCGCGCCGCCAGGCTGGCGAGGGCCAGCGACGCCGCGAAGCAACGCCGCTAAACCACCGGTTCGTCGATCAACCGCTGGAGCGCCGCGCGAAATTCCAAGCGGTCTCGCTGCGCCAGCTGCTAGGTCTTCTCGCGGATGCGCTGCTAGCGCTGCAGCGCCCGGGCCCGCGCATAGCGCGCAACCGCGCCACGCTGCGCGTTCCTCGCCGCGAGGCCCCAGACGCGCCCCCCGAGCACGGCATCCGAGTGCGAGTATATCTGCTGCGGGCTGCAGCCCTGCAACTCCTCACTGTCGGCGCGGCGCTGGCCGAGCATGAAGGCCGACCCTCGACCTGGGCGGGCCAGAGACCGCGCGGGCCTCGGCCCTGACCGGACGAGGTGGATCGAGCAAATGGCACCAGCACGCGCGGCGACCCCGCGGGCCCGACCGCGCTGGAGAGGGCGCGTCGCGCGGCCCGAAGCCCTGCGCGCCCCCCGCAGAACCCGCCCCAGCGCGAGGGCCCCCCCCCTGGATTGGGACGCACACACACACACACACACACACGCACGCACGCACGCACGCACGCGCGCACGCACGCACGCACGCACGCACACACACACACACACACACACACACACACACACACACACACACACACACACACACACACACACGCACACACACCTATATATACACACACGCACACACACACACACACTTAAGTCGGCAGCGCAGACGGCCCTCATGCGCGAGCAGCAGATGGCAGCGCCAATTGCAATCGAGCAGCGTCGAAGGCGCGGCGCGCGAAACGTCGCGCACTGCGCGGCGCAGGTGACGGGCTCGCCAGGGGGCCGCAAGTCCAAGCAAGACATGCAGCGGCCGGAAAATGAAGAAGATACTCGAATCAAAATGAGATGCGCAAGCAGCCTGGCGCTAATTGGCGGCCGCTGAGTCACCAGAGCGGCGCTGGACAGCGAAGCGCAAAAACGCGCACACGCACGCGCGCGCACACACACACGCGCACACACACGCACACACGCACACACACACACACGCACACACACGCACACACGCACACACACACACACACGCACACACGCACACCCACACACACACAAACACACACACACACACGCACACGCACACACGCACACACGCACACACGCACACACACACACACACGCACACCACACACACACCACACACACACGCACACACGCACACACGCACACACACACACCACACACACGCACACACGCACAACACACACACACGCACACGCACACACGCACACACACGCACACACGCACACACGCACACACGCACACGCACGCACGCCACACGCGCACACTCACACACGCACACACGCACACACGCACACACGCACACACACGCACACCCGCACACGCACACACTCACACACGCACACACGCACACACGCGCACACACGCACACCACACACGCACACACGCACACGCACACACGCACACACACGCACACACGCACACACGCACACACGCAACACACGCACACACGCACACACGCTCACACTCACACGCACACCACACACACGCACACACGCACACACACACGCACACACGCACACACGCACACATCACACACGCACCGCGCACACCGCACACACACACACACACACACACGCGCACACGCACCACACGCGCACACGCGCGCACGCGCACACGCACACACGCGCACGCGCGCACGCCCCCACGCGCGCACGCGCGCGCGCGCACGCGCGCACGCGCGCACGCGCACACGCGCGCACGCGCGCACGCGCGCACGCGCGCACGCGCGCACGCGCGCACACGCACACGCACACGCACACCCACACACACACACACACACACACACACACACACACACACACACACACACGCCCGCCCGCAGCGGAACGGAAGGGGGGTCGCGGACGGCGCGGGCGCCTTCGCCGCGGGGGGGCGCCCGCCAGCAGGAATCGGCCTGGGCCGATCCCAGGGGCGCGCCGACTGATTTTTCGCCGAGTGCCGCCTCCCTCGATCCGAGCCTGGCGCAGGCTGCGGGCGGCCGCCTGCTCCGGGCCCCGGTCGCTCCCCAGGCCGCGCGGCGACCGGCGCGCCTGCCGGCGCGCGGGCGCGGCCCCCGCCCCGATTGGTCGCGCGGAGCCCGCCGCTGCGGCGCCCCCCCTGCGGCCTGCCTCCAGCTCTCCCGCCCGCGCGCGGGCGTGGCCCCCATCGCGAGCCCCGCCGCTGCTGGCGCCCTCGGCGGGCCGCCGCGGCCCCAGACATGATGGCATCGTCAAAGAATGAAGACGGGCGTTTTTTGCTATTTTCGGCTCCTGGGGGCCTTCGCCGGGCCTCGGGGCCGTCAAAAAACATCGCAGGATGAAACTCTGACCCCCGGGAAAAGGTCGGGACGTCCAGGGGCGCCGTCCTGAAAAAATCAAGACGTCGCATGTCTGGGGCACTCCCGTCGGCGCGCGGGCGCGGCTCCTGCCCCGAAAAGGCCCCACCGCTGCTGGTGCTCTCATCAACGGACTGCTATCTGCCGGTCCACGCCCCGTCGGACCATCCGGAGCTCGCGGAGCTCGACGAGCTCTCCGAGTCCTTGCCCCTGCCCTCGGCGGCTGCCACTGCCACCTGGTCCGCGATGCGGCGCCTTCACGGCCGACCGCGCCATAATCTACCGGGTCCGGGACCTCGTCGAAATAGACTGGGCCCAGCGGCGATCCGCGGGAAGGAAGCCTGGCCGCAGCTGCCGACCCCATGGAGCATGGCCACCTTGCGATTCTCCGCGCACGCGACGAGGCACTTGCCGGCCTCCTCGAGGCCCACGCCCGCAGGGGCCGCCCCCCATGCCCCGAAACTGGACGTTCCCCCAATTGCCGTCGTCGCGGTTGAGCTCCGCCCCCAGTTCCTCCACGACTCTATCGCGGCTGTCGTCCGCGGGCGCGGCGATCTCCGTCGGTGGGGCGGCCCCCTCGCTTCGTCCTCCTCGACGGCGGCCTCCGGCGTCGCCATCGCCCTCGCTGGCACTGGCTGCCGCCCCCTCATCTCCCGGTCGCCCCCAGGCGCCGCTGGCGCCCATCCTGCGGCGTGGCGGGGGCCCTCGCAGGTCTGGGCGGCTGCGCCAATCGCCCCCCGCTCAGCGATGATCTTCCTCGCCGCCAGCCAGTTCGCCAAGTCCGGGATGGACGCTGCCTCGCCCAGCTCCGTGAGGGCCTTGCCCGAGCGCAGCGCACCTGCGAACTGCCGCTGGAGACTGGAGACGACGGCGCGGCGCGCCCTCGCGTAGGTGTCCGCGCCTTCAGGCGACCACCTGCCCAGGCGCATAGTCGCGCTAGCTCTTCGGGATCCGCATCGCCGCCAAGGCCGATGGGAATGTCGCTCACTTTAAGTGCCCCGTCCAAAAGCCAACGACCTCCGCGATCTCACCTGCCGAGGCCAGCGCCAGCATCCTCTGAAGCACTTCCTGGCCCGCAGCCGCCGTGTCGGCGCACCCTGTGGGCTTGCGGACCACCCCCTGGCCGGCGTCGTCGCACCGCGGCAAGCGGCGTTCTCTCTCGAAGTCTGCGACCCCCTGACACAATCAGAAACCTTCGTCTTGCGCGACAGGCCCCGCGCGTAGCACTCGCGGGCGCCACCGCTGGTTCTCGCACGCACCAGCGCGGCCGCCAGACCCCCGTCGCCCACGGAAGCGAGACGCTAAGGTGGAAGCCAGCCGTGGTCGTCGTAGCACAGCACAGCTTAGACCTCGACGAGACGAAACCACGCCACTCCGCGCAGTTACTTCGCAAGACCCTGGTCCGCGCCAATTGCTCCAGGGCCCCTATGAACGCGTTGGTTCATCGGGCCGCCCTCATCGTCGGACCCCTGCCAGCCCCGAAGAGCATCCCCGTGCTCGCGGCGACCTGCTGGACCTCAGGCCGAGCGGAGAGCCTACGCTTGGGTCGAAGCACGCCGCCCGCTCGGTCCGGGCCATGGGCGTGGTTAGGCACCATCGGCCCGCAGGGCTCGGAAGCCCTGGCACGCACGTAGTCAATGAATTGCACGACCGTTTTACGCCAGGGGATGCCGTGCCCACGCAGGAGCCATCGGCGCATAGTCTTTCACGCACGCACATACGACCTCACTGTGTTGAGGCGCGCGCGGCCCGTGATGCCGTGCATCGCCCGCTCTGGGTCCATGCATGACTGCGCCACCTCCATCGGCGGCGCGTCCATCTCGCCGAGCAGCTTGAGCAGGCGAGGCCTCCAACGAGCCCACTCTCGGGCCTCGAGCACTCCGCGGCTCTCCTCGGCGGCGGCGCAGCACTTCCGCGCGCAGCGGGTTGCTGCAAGCGCGCGCGCCCCCGGCGGGTGGGCCTCACGCCGCTCCTGATCACAGACGGCCACGAGACTCGTCACGGCGACCTCCAGCATGGTTTGCTCGGGGCGGCCGTGAAGCGACCGCCGCCGTTTCTGCAACGGCTCCACCCCCAACGCCTGGTCGACGAACTCCTGCAGCAGAACCCGCGCCTCCTCCACACCGAGGTCCGCGGCCGCTCTCTGCCACCTGAACGAGCGTCCTCGTGCTCACTCGCCTGCAGCGCCAGACGTGGGCCGCGGAGGCCACAGCCGCGCAGGACCTTGCTGCCACGCCGCCGCGCGGCGTCGAGGGCGAACGGCCCCCAAGGGCCGTTGTTCACAATCGTCCGAGCGCCTGAGCCCAAATGGCCACAGACGCTGTGCAGAAGAGAAGGATACACTGACGAACTGGCACATGAAGGCATCACCAGAATTGACCTCCTCCTCCTCCTCCTCCTCCTCCTCCACATCATCAGCGTCAGCATCATCAGCGTCATCAGCGTCGTAGTATCCTCACCATCATCCTCATCATCATCATCATCATCATCATCATCATCATCATCATCATCATCATCATCATCATCATCATCATCATCATCATCATCATCATCATCATCATCATCATCATCATCATCATCATCATCATCATCATCATCATCATCATCATCATCATCATCATCATCATCATCATCATCATCATCATCATCATCATCATCATCATCATCATCATCTCATCATCTCATCATCATCATCATCATCATCATCCTCACCATCAGCATCATCAGCAGCATCATCACCATCATCGTCATCATCATCATCATCATCATCAACAGCATCATCATCATCATCATCATCATCATCGTCATCATCATCATCATCATCATCATCATCATCCTGAACGTCATCATCAGCAGCAGCAACATCATGATAGACATCATCATTATACGCATCATCAGCATCAGCATCAGTATCATCATCACCGTCATTACCATCATCATCATCATCATCACCATCATCAGCCTCATCAGCATCACTATCATCATCATCAACAACAACATCATCATCATCATCCGCATCATCACCATCATCATCATCAGCAGCAGCAGCATCAGCATCATCAACCTCATGACCACTATCATCAGAATCGGCAGCATCATCAACATCATCATCAGCATCATCATCGTCATCATCATCAGCATCATAATCATCGGCATCATCATCAGCATTGTCATCATCATAACCTTCATCACCATAACCAGCATCATCATCAGCAGCAGCAGCATCAACATCAACATCAACATCATCGTCATCATCAGCATCAGCATCATCATCAGCAGCATCATCATCATCGTCAGCATCATCCTCAGCATCATCAACATAATCATCAGCATCAGTATCGTCATCATCAGCATCATCATAATCATCGGCATCGTCATCAGCATTGTCATCATCATAACCATCATCATCATAATCAGTATCAGCATCAGCATTATCATCCGCAGCGGCATCAACATCAACATCAACATCATCGTCATCATCATCGTCATCAGCATCATCAGCATCTTCGTCATCAGTATCAGCTTCATCAGTATCATCACCATCATCAGCATCATCATCATCAGCATCATCAACATCGTTATCATCATCATCATCAGCAGCAGCAGCATCATCATCATTATCATCATCATCATCGTCATCATCAATGTCATTCTCCGCGTCCTCATCATCAACATCAGCATCATCGGCAGCAGCAGCATCAGCATCAGGGGCATCATTGTAATCATCCTCATCATCGTCATCATCACCGTCATTATCACCATCATAATCATCATCATCAAAATCCTCAGCATCGCTATCATCGTCATCATCATCAGCAGCAGCAGCATCAGCAGCAGCATCATCCCCATTCTAACCATGCTCGTCATCTTCCTTGTCCTCCTCATGATCAGAATCGTGATCATCATCAGCAGAATCATCGTCGTCATCATCAGCATCACCATCTTCATCACCCTCATCATCATGTTCAGCATCGCCGTCATCATCATAATCATCATCATTGTCATCATCGTCACTACCATCATCAACATGATCATGATCAAGATGAACACAATCATCATCATAACCCCAACCAACACTATCATCATAATCCTCCGCATCATCACCACCATCATCATCAGCATCATCATCAGCAGCATCAGCATCAGCATCAGCATCAGCATCAGCATCAGCATCAGCATCATCATCATAATCATCATCAGCATCATCATCATTAGTATCATCATCATTACCATCATCATCATCATCATCATCATCATCATCATCATCATCATAATCATAATCATCATCATCATCATCATCATCATCATCATCATCATCATCATCATCATCGTCGTCGTCGTCATCGTCGTCATCATCCCCCGAGTTCCAGAAGTAGGTTGGCCATTCCACGTTGATGAACTGGGCCCTTCGCCTGGTTTGGGCGGATGGCCCAGGCATGGATCTTGCTCAGCACCACGTCGCGGCAAGCCTCTGGCGGCAAGAGGAGGAGGAGGAGGAGGAGGAGGAGGAGGAGGAGGAGGAGGGGGAGGGGGAGGAGGAGGAGGAAGAAAAGGAGAAGAGGAGGAGAGAGAGGAGGAGGAGGAGGAGAGGAGAAGAAGGAAGAGGAGGAGGGGGAGGGAGGGAGGAGGAAAAGGAGGAGGAGGAGGAAAAGCAGCACGGCGACGACCAGAGGACTGCGGAGGGCTGAGACGGAGCAGGGAGGAAAGAAGGAGCAGAAGAAGGAGAGAGGAAAAGCAGGAGGAGGAGGACGACGACGAGGTACGTGGAGACGGATGCAGACGAGCAGGAGAAGACGAACAAGTTGCGTTACAGAAGATCGGCTTACGATAGGAAGCATCATGACGTGGCTGAAGCAGACAGTGCGTTGCACCAGTATCCTGGAGGATCTACCTCGGCTTCGCCGGTGTCGAAGAATTTGCACTGCCAAAACGAAAGAAACGAGCGAGGAATTTAGCGTTCCTGGGCCGGTTTCCCGAATAATGAAGATCAACAACAGAAATCCCCCCGTCCCCCCCATGAGCCCTTGCGTGCGTTGACGGCGAAAAAAAAAAGCTGGGGGGAGAGGGAGGAAAAGAAAGAAGAAGCAGAAAAAGAAGACGAAGAAGAGGAATCATAATAATAATCCGCCGGCCCCCTTGTGGGGCCACCAGGCTGTAGGCCGAAGGTTCGCAGTTTCCTGTGCCAGTTGCAGCTTCCAATTTCCACCGTTACAGTTCTGCTTCTTGCTGCTTACTGTTCCTTGTTGATGGACCGCGCGAGGGGGGGGGAGGCCCAAACGAGCAGGATTGGTACGCCCTGAGCGTGTGCTCTGAATTGCTGGGGTGGGTAAAAAATGACACCCCTCACGCAGATCGGCGGGGTCATGCGGGGTCAGGGTCCAAAAACACAAGGGGTTTGCAACATGTCTGAAATTCGGGGGCACCCTCACGCAGATCGGCGGGGTCAGGGTCCAAAACCAGATGGGATTTGCAACATTTCTAAAATGTGCTGGCACCCCTTACGCAGATCGGCGCGGTCAGGGTCCAAAAACACATGGGATTCGCCACATTTGTGACATTCGGTGGCACCCCTCACGCAGTTCGCCGGGGCCAGGGCGCAAAAACATAACGGATTTGCCACATTTCTGAAAGTCGCTGGCACACCTCACGCAAATCGGCGGGGTCAGGGTCCAAAAACACAGGGGATGTGCCACGTTTCTGAAATTAGGTGGCACCCCTCGTGCAGATCCGTAGGGTCAGTGCCCAAAAACACAAGGGATTCGCAACATTTCTGAAATTCGGTGGCACCCTCACGCAGATCCGCGGGGCCACGACGTCTTACCAATCGCCAAGTGTGGTAACCCCTCTGGTGATCATTACGAGTCGGCCTCGCATGAAGTTCCGATACTGCTTCACGACAGCGCCCAGGCCTCACGACAAAGCTGCTCTTGCATAGCGCATTCTCCGAGAGAGGGGGCCGGCGGCAAGGGGCGAAGCCCTTACTGATAATGAAAACAATGCGAATAATTCGAAAAAGAAAAAGAAGAGGAACAAGAAGACCCCGAAAGAGAAGACGACTCATAAGAAGAAGAAGAAGAAGAAGACGAATGATAATAACAATAATTCCAAACTGAAGAGGGGAGATACTAGTACCGTTCCAGCACCCTTTTGGCCCGCAGTTGCAGCCCAGAGCCCCTTCGGGGCCCTCTCCCCGCAATCCCAGGAGCCCCAACCCTCGAGCCTCGACGACGAAGGGAGGGGAGGGTAGAGGGGAGCGAGGGCGCGGTGGGTTCGCCAGCGCGTGCGCGGGGAGGTGGCGGAGGCGAACACCAGTAGGAGGAGGATAAGGAGGAGGACCACGAGGAGGATGAGGATGAGGTGGAGGTGTTGTACTCGCTGTTCTGTTCAGGACCACGCCGACGACGACGACGACGACGACGAGGTCCTCCTCCTCCTCCTCATTTCATTTCCTCCTCCTCCTCCTCAACATAATCATCATCATCCCTTCTCCTCCTCCTTTTCCTCCTCCTCCTCCTCCTCCTCCTCCTCCTCCTCCTCCTCCTCCTCCTCCTCAACATAATCATCATCATCCTTTTCAGTCCTCCTACTCCTCCTCCACCAACTCCTCCCGCCCTCCCTCCTCCCTCCTGCCTATTTCCTCCTTCCTCCCTCCTCCCTCCTTCTTCCTTCCTCTTTCCTCCTCTTTCTTCCTCCTCCGCCCCCCCCCCCCTCCCCCCCTCGAACAGAACTCGCGCCCCAGCGTCCCGCCTGTCGGTGGCCACTCCCGCCGCCACCGCCCTCCACGCGGCGGCGCGCCACCGCTCTCCCTCCTCCCCCTGTCGGCGCGCGCAGGCCGCGGCGCCCTGCGGCGCTGTCCGGCGGCCCAGCCGAGCGCCTGGACAGACCTCTCGCCCAGGGCAGGCAGGGCGGCCTGAGACGCTAAACCTCCTGAGCCTCCTCCTGATGCTGCTGCTGCTGGTCTCGCAGTCGGTAAGACGTGAATCACCAGGGACCCCAGGCAGTTATGAACGGCTCTCATGCACACTCAAGGCGTTCGATGACGTTCTTTTCCAAACACCAGGCCTTAGCGTGTCCTCAGGGGGTGTCGGGCTACCCACCGACGCTGCTGGATTTCGTGGCCTCCATTCCCTCTTGGGCATCAGAAGGCAAA